CAAAAACTTCTTTCGAAATTTACTTATACTCTTCGCTTTACTAGGGGTTGGACTATGCCCATCATGTTCCATTTTTGCCTTTGTTATCTCCCACTGACCTACACCATTCACATGTGCATATACAAACACAGGGCATTCACATTTTTTTGACTTTCGCTTAGGACACAACTCTTCATCCTCACTGATTTGAGCATCTGTGACTAAACCCACTTCACTCTTTTTCCTCTTTCGACCAGGCCTTCCATAGTTTTCACATGTCCACCTACAATTCCTCTTTGCCCCTTTTCCATTATTTGCACCGCTTGCACGCACAACACCAAACCCATTCTGCTGCCCATATTCCCTGAAATACTTATCCACTTCTATCATGGACTCAAAAACCATTCCAATGGATGGAGGTGGCAAAGCAACATCCATCTCCACTTCACCAGCCTCCTCAATCTGAATAATGATGGAGACATTGCCCTTCCCTTTCGTTGGAGTCTTAAAGGACTCCTCCCCTACAATTACCTAGTACACCATAACATAATACATTCACCTCACAAAGGTCAGCATTAAACATTAGGTCTAAAAATTTTGAGCACTTAACAATAACATATACTCACACAACTAGTCGTAATAAGTAAAACGAAAAGTACATGATCATCTAACAGAGAGCACTGACTACAGGGAGGACAATGCAATTCTGAGCAATTACATGACATACCAATACAACCAATCAAGTTACATGTATATATTGCAAATTTCTCATACAACTGCGCAGCACAACGAAGTCAATTATGCAACTTTTCATACGATTGTAAATTTACAAACACTTATTCCCCCTTCCCCCCAATTTTCAGACAAACCCAGAATTACATATCCAAATTTAAGCAATTAAATAGTCACCTGATTTAAAAGCAACTCCAATGCCGCTGCGCAGTCCACTTCTCCACAGTCGTCATCTACGGCCTCTGGGATGCTCGGACCTAACTCACCACCGTTGTTGTACCGCTCGATATCCTCAGTTCTTTCCAGATACTCCATTACACTCCAACTGAGAATACTGTAACTTTTTCTTTATTTTTTAAACTCCATTTTTAAGGTTTTTTGGAGCTCAACAATGGAAGAAAAGTTGGTCAGCTTTTCGACATTAACTTTTGGAGGAAGAAGCTTCTTTTTTTCAAAATTACAGTGGGTCTCTCTCTCAGGAAGTACAACTGGTGGGGAAGGGTGAATTGTTTTTTTTTTAATCAGCTATGGGTCCCACACCGTTACAAGTTTTTTACTATTCCGTTCACCTTTTCCCTCCATTTCCACAAACCGTTACAATAAAGTGGCTCTTTATTTACAATTTTGCCATGTTATGCACTTGCATATACAATATCAAACCTCATTTAGTACTTCCTCCTACTTACCATCTTCATTAGATTGACACGCACTTATAAACTATTGGACATTGCTAATGCTCTTTCAAATATTATTATTAGCTCACACAGCTTCCATAATCTAATAATTTTGCTCCTAATTAATCGTCATTATTTTAATTTTTAAGGTTTTATTATTGTACAATGCAAAACCCAAAAATTAACGTAAGAAAAGAATACATATAAGTTGCTCCCATGGACCTAATTAGAGTATTAATTAGACAAATGCTCTTGACTACCTCTTGTTGAAGTTTAGACAACTTTGCATATTGCCTAAAAAAAATATATATTAATAAGTTGTCTTGTGGGTATTAATTGAACGAGTTGGTCGCGAGCTGAATGTTTAATTTGTTTGACATTGAGTTTAATTTTTTTTTAAAAAAAAATTAAGACAACCGAGTTTAACTTTCATTTGAAAGATAATATAGATATAATTTATTTTTTAACATTAATAAAAAGCAACTCTTTTAGAACATTGCTTCTGTAAGTTTCCCTTCTTAGCTCTTAATAGTTAGGGCATGTTCTCTTCAGCTTATTTTCAGTTCAGTTCCTAATTTCCTTCTCTCATAAAATATTAAGTTCAGTTCATTTCGATCAACTCAGTTCAATAAATAAGAACATACCCTTAGCTTCCTGGACACGACTTAAAACATTTTTGTAGATATTGAAACAAATCGAGCAAAAGGGAAATTCCCTGTTTTTCATGGTGAGAAACGAAATTTGTTTCTCATGGGGGCATTTTTGTGAATAAATCAACAACTTTAATTGAATAAAGTTATTGCTGGTTTATTTACGAAAATATTATGTGAGAAACAAATTGTTTCTCATCATGAGAAAATGGGGCATCTTCCGAGCAAAATCTAACACGATTGTGATAATATGTGTTCAAAGTTTTAAAATACGGCTCACTAAACGCAATGGGGCAAACAAATAAATAGGGGACAGAGAAACTAATAATTACGTATTGCTAATAATCTTACATTATATGTAAATAATTTCTTTGTAGCTTGACTTAGCAGCAGTTAACACCTACCTGTCTGGGAGAAGTCAACTCAATCATTTACAATAGTTTATCAGAAAAACCTCCCCTTTTTTATTTTTTAAGTTAAGATGATCTGAGTTAGTTACTTATCTCACAAATTTAAAAAGAAAATAGCTGTATTATTTGAAAAAACCACTAGACATATAAATGAACAATGGGAGAAAGAAATATTGGGAAAAAAAGGGAGAGAGAATTAGAAGTAGATAACAATAATATATAGAAAAAATTTTGGGAGTAAAAATGAACAATTTTTGGAAGAGTTCAGTATGTGCAGATAAACTAAGTGATGTTGCTCCAACTTCAATAGATGGAACAAGCCATTATTCGAATGGCATTCTTCCTTCTCTTGGTGCACGTAGCAATCGCCGTAATGCCCTTGGCCGCTTCATTGTTGCCCCTTTTGATCCCCGTTATAGGTACCTCTTCGTTGTTGTTGTTGTCGTCGTTTTTGTGATTTGTAATTTTTACTTTGCACTTCAATTGAAATTGTTTGCATTTATGTGTATATGAAATTTGACATGAAAAATGGTAATTGCATTGAGTTGATCAAGTATCGTCCGGCTTGTTTAGATTGGAACATTACGTGTATTTCAACACGTACAAAAGCTTGGGTGTTTTGGGTATTGGGTATGAATTTTATTTTGGATTAGAAGTCTAAATTCAGGTTTAATTGAGTTTGAGTATGAATTATTTGACCAGCGTGAAAATTATTCCTAATTATAAGATTATCGGGGTATCTCACCATCATAAAAACACCTGATACGTAAGATGGATCAAAGAGAGAGGGAAATTAAGATATGATCACATGCTTGCAGGGTTACAATGACTCACAAAAGTAGTCATTTAAAAAGTTATTTTTTTAAAATTACAAGACGCTATTATTACAAATATGATCCTCGTATAGAAATCATTAGGTAAATTTGTAACAATAGGTTTTGTATTATTCAAACTTAATCATCATTTATTATAGAAAGATAGATAACTGGTTTCTTATTAAGTTGACTTTTTCACCCTAAAAATAATACATGTATAGATGTATTTGCACGCACGTATTTGTATGACTTGAGGAGACTAACCAAGTAGCGATTTTGTGATGTGCAAAGTGATCGACAAAACAGACTTCGATATTAAATTTTAGAAGGCCCAATTTTAGGATATATCTATATTAATTTCATAATTGTTACTCAGTATAAAAATATAAAGGCGGTGTAGTATTTTAGAGTGAGATCATGGGTTCAATACCTTGAACAAACAAAACTGTCTTACAAAGGATCTCATAAATATTACGTCATTCTAAAAAACACATCTTAATATAAAAGGCTGTTATGCAATTTTGTTTGTGTCTAACGGTGATGTATTAGGACTTCCTACTCTACTAGCCATCTTGATTAAAATTCTTTCAAGTTCCAATGCCTACGAAATTTATGTACTTGTAAATGCCAATTTTTTTTTGGGTTACGTTGCATGTATACATTTCTACTTTGACATGAATGCATCTAATTCCTAAGAAATTCAATTTTCCATTTTTTTAATTCATCAACCAATTACCAACACAAAATAAACAACTTCTTGTAGATTCAATTCACTATACTGTGTTGCAATAATACACATAATTAATGGGTCAAATAAAAAATCACATGATTATTCCATTTTTTTAATTCATCAACCAATTACCAACACAAAATAAACAACTTCTTGTAGATTCAATTCACTATACTGTGTTGCAATAATACACATAATTAATGGGTCAAATAAAAAATCACATGATTAGGACTTGGAATTTTCTCGTATTTTAGATTTGTCAAATGAAATTGAAGATGAATAAAACATTCAATGTGCTTTTAAAAATTAAAAAAAAAAATTCTAATTTGTAACACACGCTTTATCCATTTTATTTTACTTACAACACAACCACATGACATACAATATATTAATTTATATGCAGAATACCTAGCTCGACATTAAAATTATTTTGATAATGTCGCTTGTTTACCTTCTCTAAATACATCCTAAAAATACACATCCTAAATTTTATTTCATAAGTAAAAGAAAATAAAAGAAGTAGAAAGTTTAGTACTCCGTACGTTACATTACTTTTTATAAAAGAGTTCGTTAACCTTAAACATGGATTCACAATCAATGTATACGATGAACCCATTCAAGCACACACCCTTTACTAGATTAGATTTGGTTTCAATTCAATCTACCTTATCAAATAATAAATCCTTTCATGTTACTTTAATAGAAGTAGAGATTTAGTAACGGTGTCATTTAATATTACGAAAAATCAACCCAAAAGATATGAGTATTAATAGCTCATCACAAACTCCAAAATTTGGGATCTAGTTCAACTCATATATGCCAGTCCTTAATTGGCCTATGTCTACACTACATATTTTTCTAATAAGAGGAAAGACACTTCTCACCAAACATTAATTGTTTCAATAGTATTTCCACAATACTCCCAATCAATTACAAATACATTTTTTATACTTGCTTAATTATAAATTAATAATAAGCATGCATTTTTATTTATTTTTCTTAACAAAATTATATTACTGAATACAATAATCACAGTTTTTTCTCCGATTATCAATGAGTAGTTATATCAGTAAGAACTACAAATTAACGTACGTAACAATTACATTTCACACACATTGACAATAACTCAAATTAGATTCTTTATATCAGTACTTATTATAACGAAAAACACGTGATTTTAAATAAATTCTAGTAAATTATGATTTTGAGTTTTTTTTTTTTTTTTTTTTGAAAGATTATGTTTTCGAGTTTAGAATGGAATCATTACCCAAATAAATTCGGCTTAATGGAAGCAACATGGAAGTCCATCGATGCCATTATTCTGAGATTCCTCATAATTTCATTTCAACTAAGATAGCCGCCCATTAGACCCCAAGTCAAAAAATTGATACCCATTTTTTAATTTTTTTATTATTATTATTATTTCTTAAAAAGGCAGCCTTTAATATACCCCATTTAAGGTTATTTTAAGAATAAAACAAAAAAAGTATTTTCAGACTTAAGTCAAAAAATAATTCTCTACTTTTCCTACAAAAACAATGCCAGAAAAATGATACTCCGTACCACTGAACTCGGACAGTAGCAATATTGCAGAAAACAGGGTATTTTGAATTACCAAAAAAAAAAAAAAAAAAAAAAAAAAACAGAAACAGAGGAGAGAGAAAAATTGCTAAATTGAGAGATGAAAACATGGTTTAATTCTCCAATTTGTGGTAAAAATATTATGGAAGTTGAAATTGACCCAACTTCAATTGATGGTTCAAGCCATTATAGTCTTTCTAATGGTGTTCTTCCTTCACTTGGAGCTCGTAGCAATCGTGGTGCTTTTCTCCATCGTTCTACTGTTTCACCCTTTAATCATCGTTATAGGTTTAATCTTTAATCTTAATCTTATTTCTTTGTATAGTTTTGTTGATTTTAGTATGAAATTTCATCTGGGTTTTGAATTTTTTGAGCATTTGTGTTGTTTTTTGCATGTAATATGTTAGAACTGATCTGGGGTTTTAGAGTAATTTTACTACATTAGTTCAGGTTGTTTGGAATTGAATTATTTTTGGTGGGTTTTAATTTTCTGTGTGATTTTTGGCTTTTAATTAAGGTTGATGTTATGAGTTATGAATTACTCCGTATGAATTATGCTTATAATTTGGGATTTTAACTAGCTTAATAAAGTTATGAACTCTGATTTGTGTAGGGGTAATAAAAAATTAGTATCAAGGTTTGAACCTCTAAAAATGGCTAAGCCTGTTTCAATTTCAAGTCCAAAACAGAAACTAATGGTCAACTTATAAGCTAGTAAATGTTGTAAAATGGTCAATTGAACTGGGTTTTTTGAGTCAGTTAGTCTAAGTGATTTGGTCATACTCGGGTGCTAGAAATATCCGGGTTGGGTTTGGTAAGTTCTGGGTCAATATATTTTCAGTTTAGTGGTTGAAAGTTTGAAACTAGTATAAAATATAATCTTAATGTATGCTTTTTAGTATGTTGTTATAGATATTCAATGATAGTCATCAAAATTGTCAATTTAAGGCAGCAGATCAAATTTTTGTTCGGGTTACAATCGTGTTTCCCAATTTCAAATATGGTTTAGTTTTGGGTCGAGTGATCAGGGTTGGACTAGTTTTGGGTCGAGTGATCAGGGTTGGACTAATTTTGGCAATTAGACTTGTATTTTTATCCTCTTTTATATCATTTATTTAGTTGCTTAGACAATGTATTTTTTGTGGTTTTTGAGAACCTTCACGGGCCATTTAATTGCTTTGATGGATTTTAAAATATGACAATTTGTTTTTTTTTTTTTTTTAAGATAAATGGAATCAGCTTAATTTTTTTTTTTTCTGGAATATATAGTCTTCAAATTGTAGCTATGTTCTAGTTAGATTCTTCTGAATTTGTAGTTCCCAAATTCATAGTGAACACCACAATTTCTACGAGCTCCAAGTGAAGGAAGAACACCATTAGAAAGACTATAATGGCTTGAACCATTATAAATTTTATAATTTTTTGTAATACATTCTTAGCTGTTATTACAATATTGCATTGAGAATTGTGAAAAAAGCTAACAAGACAAATAAAAGAAACGGAGGGAGTACAAAGGAAGAAGGGTGCAACTTATGGGATAAATCAGAAGAGCATTAGAAAGTAAAACGAAGTTAATTTTAAAATGAGCAAGTTTGTTGCATCAATATTGTTACATTTCAATTTAAAATAACCAAAATAAAGTGAAAGAGTACATAGCAATAAGTGTAGGAAAAATAAATTCTAAAAATCTCGACGAGCTCATTATGAACTAGACTTTGGCTGATAGAAAGGGTTCTGGGACTGGTTTGTACAACTTTGACTAGGTATCCAGTCCCCTTCACCTCTGTTTTTAACAATATACTCTTTTGGATTTTACAATAACTTTATGTAGCTTAGAATAATTTAATGAGTCAATCCAACATTCCAACCCTTGATCTGCCTGAAGTTGATTTGGTTTAAGCTTGTTTCAAACTTGAGTTTAGCATAATTAACAAGTCCAGTTAAGTTGATCAAAAGGCTAGTTGAACTTGGCCTGTTGTGATCACCAGTATTTGTTGGATTTTGTGACTTCTCATGGAAACTTATCAATGTGTCAATTTAAAATACTTTTTGGAGTTGTAAGAAGCAAGATGTGATATTGTAAAGCGAGGGAAAACAGGCAAGAAACAATCTTCTATAGGTTTTTATTTCATCTAGGGTACTATTGGACCACCACCCATGACACTGCCTATATGCACCATGAATTGATTTGCTTGCATCTGGAATCGATTTTCTTTCTTTCACAAGGCGTGAAACAAAGATTTGTTCCAGTAATGTAGCATTTTATGAAGGTTATATTATTTTGCATACTTGTATATATCCTGATAATGTTTTTTTGTGCAGAATATGGGAAATGTTTCTGGTAATTTTGGTCTTTTATACATCATGGGTGTCTCCATTCGAATTTGGATTCCTTGACAAACCAATCAAAAGCCTAGCTATTCTCGATAATATTGTTAATGGATTTTTTGCTATTGATATCATTTTGACCTTCTTCGTCGCATATCAAGATCCACAAACGTATCTCCTGGTTGATGACCGAAGGTTGATTGCTTGGAAGTACATAAGAACCTGGTTTTTGTTCGATTTCATATCAACCGTCCCTTCTGAACTTGTTGACAAAATCATCCCCGACAGCATTCATGCCTATGGCCTCTTCAATATGTTACGTCTTTGGCGTCTTCGTAGAGTCAGTAAGATGTTCTCCAGGTAAATTCTTGGCATTGTAACTTGGGAGTATGGAAACTACATTACCAAAATTTCTACACACTTATGTTAGCCACCTTCATATACAGATTGGAGAAAGATCGAAATATCAACTACTTTTGGATCCGATGCATTAAGCTAATTTGTGTAAGTATAATTTAGAAGTTCAAACTGAACTGGTGTAGATAGATTTCATTTTTATCCAGCTTAATATTTTATAAACTTGTTCATTTGCAGGTGACTCTTTTTTCGGTTCACTGTGCTGCCTGCTTCTACTTTTTCCTTGCAGCCCATTATCCTGACCCGAAAAAGACTTGGATTGCTCTTTCATTTCAGAACTTTCAGACTGCAAATTTGTGGCTACTTTATGTGACATCAATTTATTGGTCAATAACCACTCTCACAACAGTGGGTTATGGTGATTTGCACCCTGTTAATATAAGGGAGATGGTCTTCGACATTTTCTTTATGCTCTTCAATCTTGGATTGACTGCATATTTGATAGGAAATATGACAAACTTGGTGGTTCATGGGACTAGCCGAACTAGAAATTTTGTAAGTGTGCACTTTGCTACCTTGTTCTCTCACTGCTCTTGTAGCCTTGCTTGCTTTCTTGTTTGGTTTCTTTCAAGGTTGGTCTTAAGAAATTTATTTGAAGCAAACAGTCATCAAACACCTGATGTTGCATTTTCCTTATTCGTTAACTCAATGGTTTTAGCAATGCATTCAGATTTTGATTGTGCTGCTAACTTGTCATATTTTTTTTTGGTTTTGTGTACTCATAGAGGGACAAAATACAAGCTGCTTCAAATTTTGCTCAAAGGAATAGGCTTCCTGTTCGCCTCCAAGATCAAATGATCTCTCACTTGTGTTTGAAATACAGAGCTGATTCAGAAGGGTTGCAACAGCAAGAGGTTCTCGAATCCCTTCCTAAGGCAATTAAATCAAGTGTGTCACATTATCTCTTCTATTCTCTGCTTGATAAGGTGTACTTATTTCGCGGAGTATCAAACGACCTGCTTTTCCAGCTGGTATGTTTAAAATCCCTTCTTGTTGCTAGCCTGAATTTCCACTATACGTAGTATCATACGACAGGATTTTTGTCCTATATACTAGAGATGTCCTTTTCTGACATTAATTCTAATCTCATACTTTGTTTATTTTAAAATACTTGTATGCTTGAGGATTTTTTTTTTCTTTTTTTTTTGCTAATTTTCATTCTTGTCTCTTAATTTTGCTGCTAACTGTGTATTTTCTTTCCTATCTAATTAAGGTTTCAGAGATGAAAGCTGAGTACTTCCCTCCCAAAGAAGACGTGATTTTACAAAATGAAGCCCCTACAGATCTCTATGTGCTGGTCCATGGCACAATGGTGAGAATGAACTCTCATTTATAATGCATGTTACTGGTAACACTAAGCAAGCCTGCATATACAACTAGATTAGCTGGTAAAGTGGAAGGCATTTTCTCAAAAACAGGCTCAGAGGTTCTAAACCCATCTATCTGGAACAGTAGTTCTTTATTCCTCTAGACCCATAATAAAATTAAAAAAAGTTCCATGCAGTCCATTTTGCACAAGTGATGTTTTATCAGGATTTTGAGCACGAGAAAGGGATTTGGATTTCTGTAGCTCTTTTAATATTAGAACACAATATAGATCCCAAAAAAGTTGCTGTAAATAGTTACTGTCTTGTAAACTTGTTTTCTTTCTGAAGTAAATAATGTAGACTTTCTGGCATTTGACTGAGGCTTTTCTTGCAGGAGTTTATTGTGCAGAAACTTGGAGTTGAACAGGCAAGCTTTTTATATTTAATATTGCAAATTATCTTTACGTGATGCTGGTAGACTCTGTGTAATGCATACTGTTTTTAATTGAAGACTTTTATTTACAGGTTGTTAAGGAGGTTAAAGCTGGAGATGTATGTGGGGAGATAGGTGTTCTTTGCTACAGACCGCAGCTCTTTACTGTTCGCACCAAGAGATTGTGTCAGCTACTGCGTCTAAATCGAACTGCCCTTTTGAATCTTGTCCAAGCTAATGTTGGAGATGGAGCTATTATCATGAATAACCTCCTCGAGGTTTGTGTTTTTGAGTTGTTTTTCACTATTAATATATTTATCAGCACAAGAATTTTATCTCAAAAAGCATTAAATTATGAAGAGTAGGGTCTCGGCAGTAGGAGCTTAGGACGTTGGGTTAGATATATAATACAAGTGGCTCAGTATGATGGTTACAATATTACGTTGCAGATTTTCTAGAGGTTGTGTTTATGAATTTATGATTTATTATATAAACAGATTTACACTTTGTTTAACTGGGAGGTTGTATTTAATTGACATGTCATCTAATATGCGATAGTTTTTTAATTGACATGTGATCTAATATGCAACAATTAGTTGATAATTCACAATAATCACAGTAAATAGGAATTTATGACAGTTTAACAACCCTATTTTGATTTTGTTCATGATATTCCGAATGTTAGAAAAAGTAGTGAAGTTTTCACTACATTAGAAAGTCAATTTTATTAACATTAGTTTTATGTTTGCTTGTTAATGCAGCATTTAAAAACTCAGGAGGATCCAATTATGCAAGCTGTTCTTGTAGATGTTGAGAAAATGCTTGCTCAAGGTCAAATGGATTTGCCTCTTAGTTTATGTTTTGCGGCTGCAAGAGATGATGAGCCATTGTTGCAACACTTGCTGAAACGAGGCTGTCATCCTGATGAGAGAGACATGAATGGCCGCACTGCCCTGGTATGCAGTGCACTTAACTCATGACATTGCACACACTATCAATACTAAGTTTGTGTGGTTGATCTACGACTTTCTCTTTTTACCCTTTTTATCACTCAGACACTCACTATCCTTTTCTGCTAATGTATACACCAGCACATCGCTGCTGCCAACGGAAACGAAAGTATTGCAAATATCCTATTTGCACATGGAGCAGAACCAAATATCAAAGGTATATGTGAAACAACACTTGGCAATCTTCATTTCAAGCTTGTTCTGTGTTCTTTGATTTTCTGTTGTACTTTGGAACAGTGGCCTCTGGCCCATTGGACTAAATGTTGGCCGATTCTGTAAAACTTGACTTAGAATAGTTGGTGGTGTTGGTCTTTCCATTTGTATACTTCTTTTCTTAATAGATGCATTGAGGATGTTCTTATTAACTGTAGAGATTTGCAAGGATAGCTGTCCATTAAGAAACACTAGACCAGAAATTGGAGGATTGGGCGGTTATATTATTTTCACAATTTTTTCTCCTGTCACTTTAAGGTTTCTTATAGAATTCAAACTATATATTGTGATTGTAACTAAAAAAAAATACAAAGAAAGAAATGAATGAGTATATAAAGTGCAAATTTAAATATTTTTAAACGAGGAAATACAAGACATTTGGTCTGGCCCAACATGAGCCTTTTGTTCCTCTCCATTTTCTGTTGTGGACCAGAATATGCACACCTAATGCTCAATTGAGATTCATACTTTTTATTAGTCTAATTTTATTGTTATAAATCAATCTTCTGATGAGCCACTATATGCGATTTTTATTTTAAAACAGACTCTGAAGGGAGCATTCCCCTTTGGGATGCACTAGTAGCCAAGAATGACTCCATGATCAAGCTACTCAAAGACCGTGGTTCCAATATAGCTTTGGGTGATGTATATCGATATGCTTGCTATGCATTAGAGCAGGGTGACCTGGATTTGCTAAAGGTTATTGTTCGTCATGGTGGAGATCTGACATTGCCTGGGAGTGACGGATCTACACCACTTCATGCTGCAGTTTCTAATGGAGATATTAAAGCTGTCAATTTCCTTTTAGAGCTAGGGGCAGATATTGACAAGTATGATGAGGATGGATGGACAGCAAGAAGTTTGGCAGATTTTCAAGGGAAAGAAGATATAAAGGCATTATTTGAATCTAAGAAAAAGGCAGCTAGCCTAGAATCAACTGTAAGATTTCCTGATAAGGGAGCTGGTCCTGCTCGGATCATGAAGTATCCGAGTACTGGTACAATAGATGTTCCTCCAAACACAATTCAAATGACGCAGGTTGATAATCACCCTAGGCGTCAGGTTGACACATTTCAAAACTCGCTATTTGGTTTTGTCTCAGCTGCCACTAGAGGTGAGCATGGGTTGAATCAAACTTCTGTATATATTTATAGTTTTTGGTATCTAGCTTTGAATTTTTACAGTTTATTTTATATAGGCTAATAATACATGAGTTTATCTTAGGCTCTTTTAAACACACACAAAAAGAAAAGGAAAAAAAAAATAGTATGCAGCAATCAGAACTAGATTTTGCTTAATAAAACTGATAATTAATGAGTAAATGATTTAAACTGGAGCTTATTATTAATAAGTTGAAGTGAATTGGGCCTCAATACTGTCAACTTAGTGCATCACTGGCCATTTGTTTAATCACCTTATACCAAATTAGCCATGAACTAATAATCATAAGAATGAAAAATGCTGCATTTTATGGATTTCTTTGTAAAAATACGAGTTACAGATAGTTCTTGTCTTTATGTCAACTGCTTATAAAAGAGGACTTATGATAATTGATATGATCAGAGATTCAGAATGTACACATTGAGCTCATTTGATTGTTTGCCCACTGTCTGTGTTACTAATCAAAAACTTCTAAAAACTTGCAGGTGAATCTACTGATCTCAATGGTTTCTCAAGTATGTTGGGGAACCAAGTAGCTAGAGTAATTCTTAGATGCCCAGAGAAAAGTGAGACTACAAAGCTTGTAATGTTGCCAAAGACTCTGCAAGAACTGCTTGAAACCGGAAGCAAAAAATTTGGATGTCATTGTACGAAAGTAGTCACTCTAGAAGGTGCTGAAATTGATGAAATCGATCTTATAAGAGATGGTGATCAACTCTCACTCATCTGTTCATAAAAACAAATTCCTTGAAAGCTCATTTTCGGTAAGCTTTCCATTAACATCTATCTTCTCTAGAAACCATGACTGTCACAGTATTCATAATCCTGGCCAATAATTGATTGGAAGATTACCCTGGCAAAGCCAACGGAAATCAAAAGGCTTTATAAAATGACCTATGCAGGAATGGTACTATAGTGATTACTAAATACCGAGATTAAATTGGTGTCCCCAATCATTACCAGGGATGGCTTTGTGGATTTGGAGCGCCGTATATTCTTAGAAACAGGAAATACCTATAGAATAGATTTGTTCTGCTTACATGTTTTTGTAATTTTTTCCATTTTTTATTTGTTATTTTCCAAGTACAAATTCCAGTTTCTAGCTCACAAAATTATACTCCATACTTGAAGGGTAGATACACCCTCTTTGGTGTAGTTTTACGTAGATTGGGATATGTGTAAGGGCATTCTCGGAACGGCTCAACTGAATAAGGCAAAGGAAAAGTTATCCTTTCTATACTTCAGTTCTTGTATCATGTATAGTATGATGATTTTGGAAATGTAATCTACTAGTTCAAATGTCAAAAGAATTTTACTTCTTTGCTTGTGGTCTCAATTCATTTGTTATTGCTCTATTTTGATTCCACTTTGACAGAATTAACACCACAAGTTTGAAACTGAGAATTCATAACCATATTTGGAACTGGTTGTCCTAAGCTCTTGTTATTAAGGACCTGATATGATTTAACTGATACCATTTACAATAGTTACGTTAATCTATTTCCTGTCGCGATGTTAGTAAGGGCATATCAAGAAGTTAGATCACGAATCATTAATGTTTAGAACTTTAGAATTAGTAACTACTTCTGAACATCTCAGATTCTCAGTATTACATAGCTCTGTACATAACTATTCATATCTAGTAAAAGAGTTTCCTCGGAACCTACGAAAACTCATACTTCTATGCTTCAGTTCGCCTCTTCGAGTTGTCATGGCATCAAATACTTCCCCGTCATACAGAGTCCTATCACCATCGTCGATTACATCAATTGGTTCTGGTTCCTGTTTTTACACAAAGTCATGCACCGTGTCATTAATGAATGCTACACACATATTATGAATGTAATCATGAAAAAAATTGGTGAGACTAATTTAATATAGATCTAAGAGGGTGTATCCTGTTGTATTGTTTTGCTGTTTCTGAGCAATTAAGCCTTCAGACTACAGAAAGCATATTGTTAATCAAGTCGAGCTCATTAGAAAACACTTCATGATGCAGAAAGTATTATACTCGGCTGAACAAAAGAGGGCTAATTTAGTCAGAATTAGTTCAGTAAGGATGATCATGTATCACTTAAGAAGTTAAGAGACCATGAGCATAGCAGCAAACATACCGTTGCTGGAATGCTAGGCATTGGAGAGAGAACCATTTCCTGGTATTCAGCTAAACAATCCTGCAAAAAAAAAGATGGATGGGAAATCCGAAATCATTAGCTCTGACAACCATGTTGAGCAGGGAAGATATGTAAGATGACATTGTAAGAAAACGTAAGATGAAAGGACTTACATTTATAGATATAGATCGTTTATCTCTGGCGTTCATTGACATGTGAGGTACAGCGATGACTTCTTCGTACTCAGCAGCATCCAGTTCTTGCAGATACTCAGATGGAAACAGCTTAGGAAGCAAGTATTCTCTGATAGGTATTAGAAAGATGAATGGCAATGGGAACAAAATTCCGACTATAGGTATCCATGTTACTCCGAAGCAAAACAGGAAGTATACTAATTGGAACACTGTAAATGTCATGATATACTTGAATGGCACTGACTCCACAAATGAAGCATGGTTTCCTTCAAAGACTCTGTCAAACACCATTCCAAAAATAAGCACAAGAAATTAAATTTTGTTAACCAAACAAACGGAATTGCCATGTTTACCTATATTATAAATTTAAACACGAAGGAGACTTACTTGTATCGACGACTTGGGGTGACAAATAGTAGTGGCAACCTTTCCCAAAACTGATTTCCAGGAAGGCTATCAAGCGACATGAATGCAAAGTATCCCCATAGAACCGATGTAGGTATCTTTTTTATGATGGGAATTGCTCCAACAGCGAGGCCAACGAGTAGGGATTGCAGCAGGTTGCTCCATCTCTGTTCAGATACCCTGATGGGTAAGTGAGCATCAATCTGCTTAGCCGGATCAATTTTCTTCACATACCCATTGTGATTCATTATAGCCTCTTTTAACCCTCTTAGTTCTCTTGAGACAGCAGCCTCCTGCGAGAAGAGAAATGACATTACCTATCAATAAAAAGTTGTACCATATCAGCAAGATATAAGGTATTTTCAATCATACCGAGATTTTTCTAAATTGATTTTGTAAAACATACTTATACATGAGACCAAACACCTACATTAGGAACAGGTTCTGTCTCTAAAAAGGCATCTTTCAAGTTTTGGTAGAGTTCCGTGTTGCTAGCATCCTGCTGTATGCATTCTTTAGCTTTGGCTATCATCTTCTTTCGGATCAACTGTGGTCCATTAACAGCATGTATAAGAACTGAATTCAAATCATATTAGAAGCTGATTATTTTTACCTTTCTTATTCCTCTCAAGATGCTCACTAACCTGCCTCCTCAGAACAGCAAGGCTCTTTGTGTGCATAGGAGCTTGCGGTAAGACTCCATTACACGGAGGGAGTCCTAGTAACCCACAGATCAAAGTCTGATAAAGACAATAGTAACAGAGATTATTCAGCCTAGGTGTTTTTTTCGGAAACAGTGAGCATTGGAAATGCTTGGAAATAATCTTACTGTAAATCCAAGTAAAAACAGATCATAGTGGAAAGCAGAAGGTTTCTTAAGGTTAAACTCCTGCTGCTGAGCCATCTGAGACGCGACACTGTGATCAAAGAAATAAAGTCCTGCAATCATCACTGCAGGTATAGAAGCAGCAAGGATGTAGACAATGGGGACCTTTGGCATATCCTGCATTCCAAAAAAATCTATTTTGTGAAGTATTTACACGTAAATTAATCAAATCTGCAGCATGTATCCAGTTATCAACAAAAAGATGGATACTGCAGATAGTTCTCAGTCACTTAGGCTAATGGCATTTTCTCTGTAAGAACACTGACCTTAAAAACTGTCCAATGGGATTGCGAGGCAGAGTCCCAAGGGGATGGAATATCAAGCCGTCTGGGTATATCAGACGACAGTCTGCTAGGGACAGCATATGACAATGCTGTCCATACAACGATCATGAAGGGAACCCCATAATCTGCTATAAAGCTCCGAAACCATCCTGTTATTCACAAGACAAAATATACCAACTGTTACTGTGACAAATCAAGGAAGGTTTTGTAACACACGACGAAAATTGAGGTTCCTAGAGACAAATTTAAACCTTCAAAATAAACTAGACAAACCCCTTAGGAAACTCAGAATACCTGTGCCATATTGCCATGATCGCGCTTTTATGCTTTTCAAAGAAGTAAAGAGTACCCCAAAGGAGAAGACAAGAGCAAGCAAGCCATTCACGTAAATCATCAGGAAATCATCACCCCTTTCCTTATGCTCTCTCCCATGAGGTGCACGGAATTCATCAAGCAAACCCTGCCATTTTCCAAATAAACAAGCCAATTCAATCAAATGATCAATTCAAACTAATATACTTACGCGTGCATATTCCTCTTGCTTACATCCATGCATACCTCAACCGCCTGTTGCATAAAAAGAACAGAAATCAACATGCCAAAGAGCTCCCCAGCTAGCCTCGTAAATCTACTAATGAGATTGCAAGCATTAAAAATTGCAAGAAGGAACAGGAAGAGGGATGTCCAAATGCATACCCTATAACAAACAGAAGAAATATATCAGTAATATATTTAGTCAAGAATGATACTGAAGCCTAACCATTTCAACTGTCAGAAGTTTCTAGCTCACCATGCTGCCCAAGCTAAGAAAAGCTCCTTCCCCACTTTATCATTCTTTTTCGATATATTATACAGGTAAGTGTACATGATTATTGTAGGTTCCGCCACACCTAAAATCAGCAGCGGCTGCCCTCCAAATATAGAGAAAATGATTCCACAAATAGACGTTGAAATAAGTGTTTCCACTGTGCTTAAACTTCCATCTAACAACAAAGGAATATTACCAATTCAGCAACATGAAATGCAGAAGATCGAGTTTTTTTTTCAAATGACTATAGTTCACTAGGCAACATACCTGTATCCCTACTTAATTGCTCTCCAAATGCAATTACAGGAAGAGCAGATGCAAAAAATATACAAGTTGTTGGAGCCAATATCCTGCATATGTTGAGCCAGGGGATATAAATCATCTTATAGCCTCTTTTCGAGGAAAAAGGGGTGAGAATCCTTTCCAATTACTAGACCATTTCTTTACTAGAATGAGATAGAAACAGCAGAAAACTTCATTTAAATAACTGAAGAGGATCTTGTTCTGAGGTATTAAGAGTAAAAAAAACTTACTTTATACTAGTTTCTCCAAGCCAATCATGTCTATAGAAAGGTAATCGTCCCTTAAAATCTCTAGCTATACCTTCAAACGGGATGGTTGGTGAGTCCATTGCAATTCATAAAGAACGCAAACTACATACAACAAATTGATTTCATTAGTAAGAACCTAAGGACCGGGGGGAGTAAAAGCAAATGAGATCGTATGAGTACACAGGGGGCTTCAAGAGTCAAGACAATGCGAACAACTAAAAATTACAAACATATCAGCTTTGAAAGATCTGAATTTCCCTCGTAATGTAGAACAAACATCATGCACAAGTAATCCTCCTACTCGAGGCTGGTTCGAGGCCATACCTAAAATGTGGTTATTCTAGCAAATGAAAGCTATATTTTAAAAACGTTGTCTTAACCAAACTCCTAGAACTTTAGAAGAATAAAAATCAAAAACATGTGATCATGAAGATCAATAAATACAAAATCTAACAATATTCCTGCGACATAAGATGACATAATGCAATGTCTCCATACAATTAACATACCTTTAACGATGAACCTAAAAATATTAAATCTGCATAATTAATCTGTATGAAGATGATACACATTACTTGTTTTTTGAAAGAATGATACAGTTACTTTTAATGTAAATAAAATGCATGTAATAACCTTAAAATCAATATTAAAAAATGTAAAATAAAAATCTTACAAATTTGTTTTAATTTTTCAGGAAAATTATCAAATACAGCCCTCTATAATTTGCACTCAAAATATTGATCTAAGATTGGGATCATTTTTTTTTCCCCTGTTTCTTGAAGTTTTTTTGAGAAAGCTTGTGGGCTTCTGACACGTGTAATACTGCTACCCATCAGAGATTTTTGACTCCTTTATATGTTGGTTGAATCGTCCATCATCCTGCCAATGATTTTTAACTGTCATTCCATTTCATCGATCCTTGATTTTGTAATTTTATTATAATTTTTTTTAAATATGTGCACCTTTATTTTTAGTATTTTTTAATTTACTAAAAGACACTAATAAACTAGGACCTCTCCTAAAGCTAGCTTAGCTACACAAGTCAACGCTTGAGAAAAAGGGAGGTAAGAGATTGCCCTAATCATAGACAATTATAGTTGGTAAGACTTGAAGTTGAAGTTCACTAAAGGTGTCTTCCACCAACTCCGCCAAACATGCTTGATTTATATACGCTTTTAGTTAAATTAAACTCCTTAATCTCAAAATGAAAAATATTATCAAATTTCCTAAATTATTCAACTAAAAAACGTCTACAAAATTATTTTATGAAATAATATTTACTAAATTTTTCGGTACGTGTAAAATTTGTGTATTGGTCTCATACAAGCCGCGGTAAGTACGTGCGTGGTAATTCTCAATTCATTGATTTACTGTTAGCAAAAATTTCAATTGATACAACATTTCAAGGCTCAACAAATAGCTTACTACAGACTATCATACTGTCATTCAAAATGCAAAATATTACAACATAGCAAACAATACGTAGAATTAATAATAATGTACAAGATGCTAACTTGTCTATAGGAAATTTAAGGCTCATATCTAACAGATGATAACAATTTAGAAGAGCAACCAGAGTGGAGCTATACCGAAGCAACTTCATTGCAGACTACGAGCCTTTTGCATGTTCATCCTTTCTCGGGTAGCCAGTAACTTCCTCAGATCAAATAGAAACTAGGTAATCACATCGAAAAAAGTTTACAGGATGTACAGAATAATACATGATCATGGTATCCCTCATGAACTTTCAACACTCTTCCAGTGTCCTTTGTAATGGCCAGAGTTAATAGCAGTCACTCCTTGAGAATCAATAACAAAATCCAGAATCTAGCACATCAAAAGAAGGGCTTCCCGTGTACGACCTAGTAAAGACAATACAGTGGCAGCAATATGATGACCAGTCAACCCTGCACGAGTAAGCTGTTCGTTTGGAGATGCATGTTCTATGTAGGTATCCGGTAATACAATTGGTCTCCACTGCAAGAGTCACAGATATCACAAATATAAGAGCGCTGACTGCATCCTCTCAAGGTTAAACACTTGAACTAGGATATGCCATTTGCACAACAGAAGCAGAGATGTGAAAGGAACGAAGGTGACAACACATTGCTCCAGCATTATACTTTAGGAAATTTATATTGTGTAAACTTGTTTCCACAAGTATAGGCTTCTCACCGTACCCCATTCAACATCACTTTCCCTATACACCGTGTCACTCTATCTTGGTATCAATAAAAAAATTGAGCTGTACAAGTGCCTCTAAATTTGTTTTGACATGATACAAGTACAGCAGTTTCCTAGTATAGAGGTGAAATGAGGAAAATATATCCTAGCATGCAAATCCCAAGGCTCAAACTTGCTATCTCATTTATGTATATAACATTGGTACACCAACAGAAACAGTAGGCCATGGAACCTTAAAAGTCATTTCACTCCATAAATAATCATTGATAGGCTTGGAATTGTTAAAGCTAAAAGCAGAGGCTTCTACAGGCGATAACTGAGGAAAATCAGAGTATGGTCAAGCAATAAGCTCTATCGGAAAGAATTCCACAAACATAGATCATGTAAAGTTCCTCAAACATAGATCATGTAAAAAATAAATTTAAACAGATGTTGCCTGTGGGGGGCAGGGTTAATTAATTAGCTTAGATTTTATCAATAAGAATTAACAGAAAAGCAGTTTAAAGATTTACCTTAACTCTTCCATCAAGCTTCCCATCAAGTGCAATGAATTGGGCAACATGGGACCCAAATCCTCCAACAGATCCTTCCTCTACAGTAATCAGAAAGGCATGATTTTCACAAAGATTCCTCACAAGCTTAATGTCAAGGGGCTTGCAGAATCTTGCATCCGCAACAGTAACTTCTACTCCTAGCTTTGAAAGGAGGGACTGAGCCAAAAGGCAGTTCTGAACCATGGCTCCATATCCTAATAAAGCAACATCTTTACCTTCAATGAGGACTTTCCCCTTGCCAATCTATTCTACAGAAAACAGTTCACAACTAAGGCAATGGTGCACAACACTTAAAATTATCAATCACATCAAATACAGAAATAAAAGTCAAACATAAAATAACCTATGTTAAGGCAGAAACATAATCAGCAGTAATAGGGATATGAGACCAAATGGTCTAAACAGAATAAAACAGATGCATCGCCAATCTATGTTTAGCAATCTATCTGCAGTATTTTACAGGAGATAAGAAAGTGGAAGCAGTAATTTTACATATCAGGTTTTTCAACTAATTACTGTGCTCATTTGATTGATAAAAATAAAGCACACTTTCAGAGTGAAGTAACTACCTCAATTGGCGTTCCACACTTGGGGTTATCTATGCCAACTATAGTGCCTCTGGGATACCGGAAGCACACTGGTTGATCATCAATTTGTGCTGCAGTGGCTACCATACGAGCAAGTTCAAACTCATCAGAGGGAGCCATCACAATCATGTTGGGCAAGCAGGACATGAAAGTTACATCAAATGAGCCAGAGCACACCGGTCCATCAGAACCTACCATGCCTGCCTTTGTGATAGCAAAACGCACTGGAACTTTCTGTCTATCAACATCGTGAACAATCTGTCAACAGGAGAGACAAATGAGCACATGTTTTTCAACTCCCCTATGACCAATTTGCAGCCATTTTTTATCATTTAATTTTTAGCAACTTACAAGAAATCAATGTATCAGGCAGCAAATAGTAATTAAATGAAGGCTAAGGCAAGGCATCTTAAGACATGGTAACGAAGGGTGAGCCAAGACATGATGAATGAGATGATTCCAGGCACCAAGTAGGTTTCCTTGGGCCCTTTGGGAACCCCAGGAAGGACCTCGATGCATGATCTTGCCGGGTCCAAAAATGTTCTCTGGAGGCCAAGTTTGAAGGCTATAATACACAAAATCGGACTATTTTTTGAGATTTCGGGACCCGGTGTCAAAAATTCAAGGGGTGGTAGGGGATGCATCCCGGGGTCATACAATATTGTTTGGAACCATTTATGGCCAAGCGCCCACACTTGTGTCCCATAGTCAAGCAACTGTCATGTTTTAGTATCTTTAAGATAGGAGGCCTAGATGAGTGAGTAATAATAAGCAAAAGATTAGACAAAATGCAGGAGAAAAGGGGAGGGGGAGGGGAGACAAGACCTGGTCATAAGCTCGCTGTAGGAAAGCAGACGGAATGATACAAAATGGTTTGAGTCCTCCACATGCTAGACCAGCAGAAAATGTAACAGCATGCTGTTCGGCCATTCCAACATCGAAAAACCTATCTGGAAAGTTCTCTTGGAACAACTGAATTGATGACTCCATCCTCATGCCTGCATGAACTGCCACTATATCCTTGTCCTTCTCTGCCTCCAATGATAAAGCCTCTATAAAATAGTGGTCATATGTTTGAGGGCCAATTCTAGATATCAATGAATCAATATCACTTGAGCCTGAAATGAAAAGAAAAGGACAAGCATTGAAAAAACGTTGGCTATTATGGCGATTTTAAAATTATATGCTGTTACTGAATAAGACTATCGGCTTTGATTTCCACTGAACCATTAAAGTATTGCCTTTATTAAAATATTGGAATCTGGTATATGCAAGTGCATAAACAAATCTCTAAGTCACTACAACTGTTTTAATATTTTAGGAATTGTTAAACAACTTGAGCGGAGAATGGACATCAAGGATTCCATCATATACCAGTTAGTAAATGTAATCAAGATCCACATCTTCCTCAAGTTGCGACATAGTGTGCTTTTCTTCATTGCATATGATCTCAACTAGAGTTTTTGAGAGCATGAAAACATAGAGAGTATTAACAAATTGAAGTCCTTAAACAACAGTGATAACCTGACAGCTAAAAAAGGTTTAACTTTCCTCATAAGTTGGCGCATGCACGAGTATAAAGAAAGAAATTTCAAGTGTTTTTCAATTCAGAAACCTCCACTTAACCGAGTATTAACAAAGTGAAAACGTAATATTTACTCAATTGAAAATCAAGATGTTATCAATTCAACCATGCTAGCAAAACAAAGCAAGCATCCATCTCTATTAGTGTAAGCAAACAATTAACACGTGTCAAAGAGTCAAAACAACATTATTGTATTGTATTGTATCACAGGCTAAAAAGCTGAATTAACCAAGACCAAGAAACTGATTAGAATATAACTGAGAAAACTCGTCAAAGCATCAGACGGAATCATCCTGATAGATATGCATACATATAGAATCCAGCCATAATGTACAAAACTGATGTTGAAGAGCAATAAAGGTAACTACTGAATAAATTACCTTCATCAAGATTTTCCACTGTTTCACTCATTTTCTTAGGTTGTCCAATGTTTTCATCTGTCATGACATGAATCAATACAGGGCCCATAGAATCCAACGAAGCTACTTCTTGTAGCACACAAATTAGATCTTCAACATTATGCCCATCTACTGGACCAATGTAGTACAGTCCTAACTCCTCAAAGAGTGTTGATCCTGTAGGACCCAGCATACCACGGGCATACTCATCGACTTTGGCAGCCCATTCATACAAACCTTTACCAACTCTCTTAGTAAGACCCTAAAGGAATATGAAAACAAAAAACTCATTAATATAACAATGGAACAAAATTAAACTTGAATTTCATCGAAGCAGGGGATACTAGCTCATTCTCTTAAAAATTGCTCAGTTTATTTTTAGTAAGGACCACCAAGAGAACCATACCTTAGCAACTTCTCTGAATCTTCGAAAAGTTTTGCTGGATTGCACCTTGCTCCAAGAACTAGAGAGTGCAGTAATTGGTGTCCTGGAATCCTCATCAGGCTTAAGATGCAAAGAGTGGCGACTATCATTTAAGATTACCACCAAATTTGAATCTAAGTATCCAGCATTACTCATTGCCTCGTAGACTTGACCAGTAGTAGTTGTTTCATTGCTGATAACAGAAACTACACGCTCACGTTTCCCTTTGATATCTCTTGCAACTGCCAAACCTGAAATATAGATGGATATAATGGAGGTGTGGTTATATATAGCAATATTTTCACTTTTCCAGAAATAAGCATATCTATTAGGAAGAAAATTTAAAATCTACCAAGTCCTGCAGAGATACTGTTGCATCCATGAGCAGCACCAAAGGGGTCAAATTCACTCTCAGAACGGGATGTATAACCAGAAAGTCCATTTTTCTGTCCCAGCGTACTTATCAGAGATCTTCTTTCTGTGAGTAGCTTATGTGCATACGTCTGCTCAAATGCAGAAGGCATCACATTAGTATAAATATGTATTGAACTCTCTTCATAGTATCACATCTCAATTATCTCAAATGGAAGAAACGAAAACAAACGGGAGCAACAGAAAGCTGAGCCAAAAAAATTCCATAATGATAAAAAAAGGGCCTGATAACTCACTTGGTCTCCTATATCCCACAAAATCTTGTCCATTGGTGCATGAAAAACATAATGAATTGCAACAGTCAGCTCCACCACAGACAGACTAGCTTTTAAATTTTTTTGTCCTTTTGATACCATGAAAGAGAGCTCTCCACGGATTTCATCAGATAATTGCTTCAGCTCCTGTTGCACCAGGATTCTAATCAATTGACATAAAACTTCATTTTACTGCTTGTTTGTTTTCATCTTATAAAGACACTAAGTTTCAATATTATTATTCATAATTGTACCAAATGGTGTAAAGAAAAAGGTACCATGACTTCTCAACCTTTGGTGACAAATTTTTCATGTTAATGGGGTTTTCAACCATATCAAGTATAGGTGTAGGCACTTCTTCCCAGAAAAAGTCACTGTTATTGGCAAGAGCTCGAGTTCTTCCTGCAAATCCCTGCATTCAAGAAGACAAGATATATCACAAAGCACTCTGTATATAAACGGGTGTTGTTTAGTACTTCACTTGGGGGTTGGGGGGGGGGGAGCATCATAAAAGTTCACAGTAGTCCGAAAACTAACAAGAAAAGAAAAACCGAACACCAAAAAGTTTATCCTAAGGCTAAAAATAACATTATTTAACAACATAAATGCTATCATATATATACACTTTGATTTTATAAGATGACTAAAGTCTTCTTTTAGGACTATGGTTCCCTAATGCAGTTAATTGAAAGTTATATCATGTGGAAATAAACACAGGAAACGACAAAAAGCAACAAACAATGATCTTACACCGAAAGTTATATCAAGGCTCTCAAGATCACCCTTGGTCCCGCAAGAGTTCCACACCCAACCTAATCACTATAGGTAATCAAAAATCCTTATTGAATCTTCCTCATTTTTGACCCAAAGTCCCAAACACTCCATCTTGTCTTTTTACCTACCTATATATGCGCGTAAACACTTAGACTCTTATTACAGCTAGTATAAGTAATACTAATCAAAGTCAACTTCTTATATATTGATTCGACTAGGAAATAGCTAAGATCCTAAAGCTATGAAATTGCCAACTAGAAACTTTGATCACTTGTTGCTTCTTGTCTCACGGGACAACACTTTTCACAGCCCAACAAGTGCCAACCACTCCATGCAAATAGGCTGCAGCATAGAAGTGGCCCAAATTTGTAGCTTGGCTCCAAGACCCAATACCCACACAATACACAAAAGCTTCCATAACCCAACAATTTCCCAATCAGAAGACTTGTTTCCAAGAAGACACCCATTTAGAAGAAAGCACATCACCGTTGCACATCCACTTAAGGAATCATCTTTCTTATTCACCAAGGAAGATACAACTTGACCAACAGTAACAGTCTACAGCTCTACACCATGCAAGTCATGGGACAATGTTCCCAAGTCCCACACAGATCAGAACACATTATCGGACTCGAATTTCCTTGTTTCCCACACACAACCCATGTGTAGTGCCCTCACCCACAAATCCAAACAATTACCTGAGCGCGATCATATGTACCCAAATCGCACCTTTATAAAAACTCATTATAATATCCTTGTCATTCAACCGAATAACGGAATACAACATGCTTCCATAAACTCACCCTGCAAGGACACGACAGCCTGACTCATGCATGACAACCCCATCATTCAATTGAATATCATCTTCCTGATGCAACTTACCACTCGTTTGAGCCATGACGACTGATGGCAAATAAGACTAGGAAAAATGAAGAGTAGCCCACTAACCCCGTATGGCCGTATGTTTGTCAACTTCCTATCAATCTTCCAATGTAGTGCGATTTTCCCTTCCACGCACACATGGAACATTCCCCACATTCCTTTCATAAGCTTTGCATTCTAAAGAATACTACGAACCAGCTCGCCTACCCACACTTGAAGTTTGTTTCTTACTTTATCCAAATCTAATTTATTGGTGGTACATACTCTTCAAGTCCAAAGGTACTTCATTGTCAATAATTCCACCCCATGCCCTACCTATCACAATGTCAATAGTCCACAATTTTTTGCAACAGTTATAGGATTGAAGTTACAATAGCCAAAAATGACTTCTTATGGCTGATAATCTACACTTTATACTATAAACGGAGTATGAATATGAAGCAATCTTTAGAGGGTGAATTCGGATAAATTTTATCCTATAGAACAACAATAAGATCATATGTTATCAAGACTTCCATACTCATGTCGAACACGACCATGTGTTCAAATGCTATATCGGCAATATCACCAAACAATTCCATGTTTTTGATCAAATTGAAGCATCAAGTATTCGCGCCAATGTTGGAGTGTCTAAAATGAAGAGTCTAAAACAGAATTACTAGAAAACAACTGTTTTAATATCACCCTAAAAGGGTTGCAACAACATTAATTAGTGCAATCTTCTGATGAAAAGAAAAAAACCTCCATATTTATGATAATTCAGCAACTTTATAAACATTATTACACATAGAAAAGAAAAATTGTATGAATGTATGATAATACCTTGAATGTGAAGCTGGAATTTAAGGATGAACAGGCATTATTTCTACAAAACTCTAAATTGGATTGATAGCTGAAGCTTCTTGATTCCAATTTATGAAGAAAATCTTTACAATTTCCATGATTTTGAACAGAAATTCCAACTGGGTATTCAAGATAAGCCATTCCCATCTTGAAAGTCAAACACCCCACAAAAATTGAACCAGAAATTCACCACCAAATTGCCATCAAAGTACACAAGTACCCATCTTCTCAGCAGAAAATCGAGCAAGTTTAATGAAATTAATAAGAACTTTGAAGCCCACAAATTGAAATTGAAGTGTCACAAATTATGACAAAGAAAGAGTTGTAGTGGTAGGTAGAAAATGAAAGGGTACAAGTTTGAGTGGAAACAAATTAAGCACTATCAGTTGCATAGTGTTCAGATGATATTGGCTGTTTCTATTGCCTAGAGCTGGATGGATAGAAACTTAGCACGTTGCTGTGTACTGTTGGGGCCTGCTGATGACCTTACGGTCTTACCTCGAGGTGGCAATTGGATTGTTCGGGTTCTTTTAAAGTAGGATTAGATTTATGTTTGGATCTATTTGGGTAGGTCACATGGAGTAACTCGGTTGAGTATGATTCGGGTCCAATTAGAATTACTCCCTCCATTCAAAAAGAACGACCCATTTGGTCAAAACTTTGTCCCAAAAAGAAGGACCCATTTGCATTAAAACACCACCAATTTGCAACAATATTTGTGCAAAATTAGCTTCCCCATATAAAAATTTGATTTTCCATGTTATTTTATTACTTTCTCTCTCTATTTTTTTACAAACCCCATGTAAATTTATCTTTCCAATATATTTTTACTTCTTTTTACTTAACTTTCTTAATACCCACGTAATCATCCCAGATGGATCGTTTTTTTTTGGGACGGAGGGAGTAGTTTTTTTTTTAGCAATTATCAAAGGAAAAATACATAGTAGTTTGTTATGATTATATATTAAATTACAATAGAGTTTTATGGTTTTCTATTTTCTGAAAACAGTAGTCCATATTTATTTAAATTCTATTGCTAGTTAGCTGTTGAAAATCCATTCACAATTGTTAATATGAGTCCAAGTCGTTGTAAAATTTATGCTTTATTTGGTTTAATATAAATTTGAGTAATCGAGTATGAATTTTTTTTACACCTCTAGTTGTTACTTGTTAGAACATCAATATTCAATAGTGCGGAACATCTTAAATGGTGATTTTTTATTGCGCCCGTACTTTACGTCATTATTAACTCATTATCACTTAAGAGTCACCTTTGTAGGTTTTGTACAACTTTTTTTTATATGCAATCACATTTAAAACGTATCAATAAGTTCAAGTTGATGTTTTATGCTTAATTAGCAATATATAAGGAGAAGGGCCCTACCGGATCGGAACCTCTCACTGGTCCTCCCGACTCGGGTTAGCGGGCTAGGCACTTTGGAAGTGATGGGGAAGGGGAAGGGTAAGGGAATCACCATTCACCACCCCAAAAGGTGCCTCTAATGGAGTTTGAACCCACAACCTCTTAGTTGTGAGATACAAACTTGACCACTAGACCAAGATATGCTTGGTGGTATTCAATGTCTAGTTGGATAAGAGTTTATATACTAGTATATTGTAATACGTATAATCTATTTGTTCTTCTGTGTAAGGATATAAGGATATTCACGATCTAGTTAGACGCGGTTCTGTACCCAAAAATTGTAAACAAGTGAGTCCGCTCAAGTTCATTATAAGGCCAATCAGATTACGCCTTTATCTTCATGCGGAATTATTGGCTTGTTTCTTTGCTCTGAAGCACGCTCGTCGACAAGGGTTTTCTAGCGTTTCCCTTTTCACAGATTGCCAGAATATTTTGAGTTTGCTTTCTGGCACTGGCCTCAAGGATATTGCTGTGGTTTGGCTTTTACAGGATATTGGTGCGGTCCTTGACTCCTTTGTTACTTGTCATATTAGCAAAGTGGGTAAATCTGCTGTTTCTCGTGCCCATTCCTTGGCAGTTGCAGCGCGGCGTAGGAATTTACTTAATTCTGTTTTTTAGTTTTTTTAAAGTTTTGTGAAAAAGAAAAAAATAACAATTCTTATATATATATAATCAATTAATTAATCAAATCATATACTTTAAGGTGTAGATTTGTATCAAAAACTAAGGCCTTATTTTCTTTCTCTTAAAAATAATATTTCCATAAAAATAATTTCGATTCAGTAAAAACAAAATCAGTTCAGCAAAAAAAATTCTGGATGAAATGGACAATAACACTGCAGAAGAACTATAGAACTTCAAATAATTTACCACCAGCATCTAGCTAATACATCAACTTTTAGCAATTAAACCTTCAAATAACCAACCAAAGCAGAGAAAAAATATATAGGAAGGAATTCATTCATCTGTTCTCTGCTAATTAGTTTGCTAGTAACTAGTTTAAGATTGTCTTGTTTCGTCAATTTTTCAATGGGAAAATCAATGCCGCCAGAAAGAATACAAGGACATGAAGTTTTTACTTCCACAATTTCCTCAAGGACATATTCTTTTCTGTATCCTTCTTCATCACCTTTGCCACAGCCATTTCAAAATCTTCCTGTGTTACGTGAATCCTCCTCTCCCTCAAAGCAAACATACCTGCTTCAGTACATACACCCTGCACACACCAGAGTAGAGGAATTTGGTTACATGCATGTATAAATCACCGACAGGAAAATCATATAGACCAAGAGTCCAAGATATCTATGTTTACATGATCAAAAAATGAAAAGGGAGAGAGGGGGGGGGGGGGGAATCAATTGGATAAACTGTTTCAATTCAAAATTGCTATTAAACAGGTGTGCAGCTAAACACAGATTAAATATGCAAATGTCAATTCATTGGGCAAGCAGTTATTAACATTCAATAGCTTATCACAGCCAACTTACAGAATATTGTTTTGTAAACATCGTACTTGTAATTAAGTCCAAGCATAAATCCTGTTAGTTTCAGCAACTGACAACAGAATACTAGAATCTACTTTTTCTGGGTTCCCAGCTCACAATGATAACATATTTGCTCTCAGACGCATGTTTGTAAGGAAAATTCTGTTTTGCATCACTCCCTTGCATTTTACCAATAAACTAGGTTTAGATTCAGAAAATCAGCACAGCACAACTTTCATCACATTTGATGGGAAAGCAACAATTACTCGACTCTCACAGACCTACATCTATAATTTTCACTAGTGTCCTGTTTCTGCAGGGTAGCACAAAATAAAGTTTATCTATGAGACTGACAAAAATCTAATGTTCCTTACAAGCCAAACTTTGTCATCAGTTTATCCCAACCAAAAAAAAAAAGATAAGCCTAAGCATACAATAAATGATAGGCATTTCCAATATGGAAGGGAAACACCGAAACAGCGTTGTCTAATAGCTTTAGTCTCATTATAATGCCAACGGTTTGTCTAAGTATGGTTTAGGAATGGCATGTGTAACATGTTACATGTCGTAAGAAATCATAATCCTTTGGAAACTCTGTATCACTTGAAAAGCTCTAGAATTTGATATGCATTTTACACCAAAAAAATGATATAAGATGCTCAAGGAAAACAACAGTTTGCAAACCTTTAACTCTGCACCAGAAGCCCCGTTCATCTTTTCCGCAATCTTCTTCAAATCAATCCCGCGCATCAAGTTCATTCTTCTAGAGTGGATCTTCAAGATGTCACAACGAGACTGAAAAGATGCAGCAAAGTCATTTAGAATAATGTAGAAGCACTGTTAATATGTTGGGGAATTTCAGATAAAATTTTATTAAGTATTCTAAGTTTATAAATGCAAGGGAAATAGCTCATTCAAAACTGCTTACAGCAAGTGAAGGCTGATTCTACTTGCTTAGTAATGCATGACCCTAAACCAAATGAATAACATGTGTATTTCAAAAATGCATTACCAAATACTTGGCACTACATTTAAAGGACAAAGACCACCTTGTCAAAGCAAAGAAAGGGTTGAGCACCCTGACTTTGGTACATTGATAGATTTAACTATATGAGTCACTAAGTGGCTAAGTGCTTTCTTCTGATATAATGTTCTTCCACGTCAATTAGGGAATAAAAATATAACAAAATCTTCCTTCTTCCATATATCAAAAAGACTTATAATGCTGTTTCCACCTAAGAATATTTTATAACCAATGAGTACATTATACCCAAAGTCCCAAACAGCTACTGCCACTCGATTAGGATCATTAATTATTTAATTATAATCCTTTAAAGGCAGAATCAAATTTCAAATTTACTTCATTTTACATGCCACCCTTATTTTCTCTATCAGTTATGTGAGTAACCACAGAGCCAATAATTTAACTCCACTTAATGACAGTAGACAGCGCATCATAATAACCCCCCCCTCCCCTCTCCTCTTTTCTCTCCCCTCAATCCAATCCCCCCTCCCCTCTCCTCTTTTCTCTCCCCTCACTCCAATCCAAAGAAAGGTATAATAAAAGAAAGTTTCTAAGCCTTTTTAAAAGAAGACAACAGTATCAGCACTTTAGGTTAATCTACAAAGGAACTTCAAGAGGAAGCCTACAAAAGAAAACAGATTGGTGAAAGTTTCTCCATGCCTCCAAACTTACTGAACTAGCCTACTCAGATCAATAAGGGTCCTTTCAGTCCATAAAGCAGAGCACAAAGCAGGAGACTCATTTTAGCTACATGATCTTCAGGGAGGGGATAAAGCACTTGCTTGACAGTTAATTGAGTTAAAGAAGGAAATATGCAAATACGAAGTGCACCACAAAGTTGCGAAATAAGGACATGATGCCAATATATTAAACTCACATCTTCGTTGGGATTGGGGAACTCAATCTTCCTATCAATCCTTCCAGGTCTAAGGAGAGCTGGGTCCAGAATATCAATACGGTTTGTTGCCATCAAAACCTGAGGATAATTATGCCACATCAATGACAATGAAATATAAGGTATTAATAGTCCAATAATATAATTAAGTACAATTCAGAAAACAACTCATAAGTACTTTAATCTTTTTTGATGCTTCAAATCCATCTAATTGATTGAGAAGCTCCAACATAGTTCTTTGAACTTCACTATCTCCATTTCCAGATCCAGATTCCATTCTTGCTGATCCAATACTATCAATTTCATCCATGAATATGATAGATGGAGCATGTTCTCTGCACAACAGCAACATCAAAAAGTCATGCACCTTGTTCATTCAGACTAAATCAGCACAAAAAAATAATGTAAGTTTGAAAACCTTATGATGCAATGTCAAATAGGGATATCAACACAGTATAGCAGGCTTTAAACAAAAGATATAACAAACCTGGCCATGACAAAAAGTTCTCTAACCATTCGGGAACCCTCTCCAATATACTTCTGCACCAACTCTGACCCAGAAACCCTTATGAATG